TGTAGTTTTGGCTTTACTATTTATCACTTTTAATAGTTGGGAATTATTTCCTCAGAAAAAAGAAACAAAGAACCCTCAAACGGACAGTTTTTTTTCCTGGAAAAATCGCTATGTCCGTAAGATACTAATTTATTCAGTTATTATTATTTTTGTTGTTCCCTTGATTATCGACCGTTTGCAAGCATTTCACAATAACGCCCTCGAAGGCTCGCCCGAAGGTTTTGCAAAGGCTTATCAAACATTGGTTAATAGTTCGGCTACAGTAAAAAATCTCATGGAATTAATAACTCAAACTAATTATAGTCTCTTTCACTGATTCATTTTGCTGTGATTTGTTAAGGGCATAGTGAGTGGAAGATGAAAAGAATTTGCTGATTTCTGAACTCAAGTAAACGGTATTCGTAAAAAAGCCAATGATTTTCGACATTATTATTATTACCAAGAAGGTTGAGCAGTAACTAATAATAAAACTATTAATTTGGGTGATTATGACTACTTAAAAAATAACCCTAAATTTTTGGGCAAGGAATATTTAGAAGGAAATTTAGATATAAATGATTTTGCTAAGCAAAACAAAAAAGTTGTTAAATATATTGAATTTTGCGATGACAAGATAAAAAAACCATCCCAGAGAAACTTCCTTAATTACTGTCTTTTTAATGAGTTTGGTTTGTGAAAGGATTGTTTGCGAACGAAAAGACTAATTAAGGCGGTGCGGAAGAAGTAATATTTCTCTTTCATCCTTTATTTTGCCTACTAGAGCACTTAAGACGTCTTGGAGGGTGATGATGCCTAACAATTTTTTTTTCTCGCGAATGATGGCGAGACGAGAATTATTATTCTGCAATTTAATTAAGACTTTGTCTAATTTTTCCTCAGGAGAAAAATGGATGATTTTTTTATCAATGTAATCCTGTCAACGGGCCTCTTTATTTTTCATTAACCGTCAGTAAAATACTTCCATGTTAAATACTCCAATTACTTCTCTTTTTTGGTTGAGGACGGGGTAGCGGGTGAAAAATTGTTGGGAGTGAATGTCCCGTACTTCAGGGTAAAGCATGTCGTGTTTGAGAGTAACGACTTTTTTTCAGGGAGTAGTCACGGAAATGACTTTCGAATCGTCAAATTTGAAAGCTGACTGGACTAATTTGGCTTCGTGCTTTTCTAAAACTTTGTCAGTAGTTAAATTATTGACAAAGCGTATAATATCTTGTTCTGAATTAACAAATATTTTTTTTCTCGGTTTGACTATTGGTCGCAGAAAATAATAAGGAAGCCGAATCAGCGAGTAAGTAGTATCAATGAAAAAATTGCTAAAAACCATTTTGCGGCTACTTGGTCGATTGGCTAAATAGCGGACAAATATCTCGGTAGTCAGAGCAATTAAAAGACTCAAAAACACTAATACTCCTCACTTATAATTACTTAAATTTGCGGCTTCCAGAATTGGTTGGCCTACTCCGACCATAAATATTTCGGAGAGAAAAATATTGAGGAATACTTGGTAAACACAAACCACCGCAAAAAGAAGATTACCATTTTTAAGAATAAAAATTAATTTCTTACTTCTCCTTTTATCCTTTCTTTCTTTTACTAAATCTATCTTGAATAAATTAACATCAGAATAGAGTGCTGAGATGTAATTTAATAAAAAAGAAAAGCCCAACAATAAAAAAAAGATGGCAATGAGAGAGAGGGATAAAATTTCGCTAAACTTCATTTTCGGTAGTAAATTTTTGGAGTATTTTTTCCAACCCGTTTATTGTTTCTAATTCTTTATCTTGGAGGAAAAGAAGGTTGGGGATATAAGCAAATTTTTTACTTTTTGCAATTTCTTTTTTTATTAAAGGTGAATATTTTGTATTTATTAACTTGAGAACTTCTTCTTGATTTTCTTTGTGGGAAAATGATAAATAAACCTTTACGTTCTCACCATGCCTACTTATTTCACAGTGACTTAAGGAAAAAGAAGGGAGGTGATATTCTTGAATTATTTTATACAAAATATGACTTATCTCCCGCTCATAGAAACTCCGTTTTTTTTGTTGAGTAAAATTTTTACTGAATGACATTTTTCTTTATTAAATGAAAAGCTATTATTTTATCTCCTTCTTGAAATTTATCAAATCCTTTCAAAACAATTCCGCACTCTTGACCGCTACTGACTTCATTTTTTTCTACTTTATTACTTTCTAAACTTTTGATTTCGCCGACAAAAACTTTTTTTTCTTCTTTTCCTTGCAGCACGTAAACCCGCTTGTTACGGCTAATTTTACCGCTAGTTACTTGGCAGCCGGCAATGTTGCCCTTAGAGAATTCAAAAACTACCTTTACTAATGCTGTTCCTACTACTTCTTCTATCTCTTCTATCTCTTGGTGGCGGTTGATAATCTCGGCTAATTTTTCTCCAATCTCGTATATAATTTTACTACTAAAAAAAGGGATATTATTTTCTTTTAGAGTGCTTGCTTGCTGTTGGGGAGGCTGGTAGCCAAAAATTAGAACAGTGCTGCTGGTAATCTTGGTTAAATCGAGAGCAAAACTATTCAAGTTTCCTACGGTGGTATAAACGATTGAAAAGTTGAAATTAGGAGTATTTTTTTTTCTTATCAGTTCACTGAGGGCTTCCAGACTGTTTTGACTATCGGCGCTCAGAACTAAATTGACATTTTTTTTCTCACTGGAGGGAGGAGGGGTTAATTTTTTCTTTTTTTCTCAATAATTAGTTAACTCATTCTCTATTTTAGCAGTTGTTTTTTCATCGTTTACCACTACAAATTTGTCTCCTAATTCCGCTGGAATATTTAAACCAACAATTTGAACTATATCGCTTGGATGAGCAGTGGTGATTTTCTGACCGCGAATGTTAAGCATCATTTTGACTTGACCAAATTTCCCATTGAGAAAGATAGTGTCCTTAATTCTTAATTCGCCATCCCGGACTAATAATTCACTTATTTGGGAATTAGTTTGAGGGTGCGGGTAACTGTCAACCACTACTCCTTGAGCCGGACGGTTAGGACTAGCCTTAAAGTCAGAAAAAAGAAGAATATTTTCTAAGAGGTGGTGGGCACTTTCTTTTTCTTTGGCATTGCCTGAGACTATTATGGTTTCTCCTCCTCATTCTAATGGGGTTAAGCCTTTTTCTTGGCACTGTGTTCTAATTCTATTTAAATTGGTTTCGTTGTTAGTTTCCTCCGGCTTTTTGTGGTTAAAAAAGATAACGAGGGGCAAATTGTACTCGTGGAGGTAATCAATAATTTCGGCAGTTTGCGACATTATTCCATCTTTGGCGTCAATTACTAAAACAACCAAGTCAGTTAAAGAGACTCCTCTCCGCCGCATTTTAATAAAATCGCTATGCCCGGGGGTATCTAAAAAAGTAATTTTTTGGTTCTGAAATTCCACTTGGGAGACTGAAACTTTTTGGGTTATTCCTCCTACCTCTTTTTTTTGGACTTGAGTCTGGCAAATAGTATCTAATAAAGTTGTCTTGCCGTGGTCGATATGACCCATAATGCTAACAATGGGTGGACGAGCAACTAAAGGCCCTTTTTGGTCGCTTCTTTCTAAGTATTCTTGAATAATCTGGCTAAAATTTATCTGACTTTTTTTTCTTATTCCTATTTTGACACTTTGACAATAATCATTCAATAAATCTCATGATAATGATTGATTGCGACTAATACTTTGTCCTTTGGCTCAAAAAAAAGCAATAATTTCGCCGACTGGTTTACCAATGATTTCTCCTAACTCGACTGGAGTTAGATTTTCGTTCACCAAATAAAGAGTATTATTTTTGAATTCATTAATGGTGCTTAGAATGTGGTGGTGAGTTATTTCCAGGAGCAAATTGGTGCTTTCATGCTTTTTCATAGTAAAGGAGTTTTGGATATTCGAAGAAATTATTTTTTTGAGTAGATTATCAGAACTTTATTTTTCAATTTCTTCTACTATTTGCACATCAACATTTTTATAGTTACCGACTTCTTGTAATATTTTACCTTTATTTTCTAAAACTTTGTTTTCTTCTATTTCTTCTAATATCAGCACGTGAATATTTATTTTTAAGTACTCGCTAATCATTTTTAATAGTTTTCCTTCGTGTTGCAGGAGAAGAGAGACTTTTTGTTGTGGCACAATGATTTCTCATTCTTTTTCGTTTTTAATATTTAATTTAATTAGTTTAACTGGTGAAAGCAATTTCGGAAGTAGTCTTTTTTTGTCTTCGGTCCAATCGGCAAAGTCAATTCGTTCGGGATAAATCAAGCGGGAAACAGACTTGGCTTTTTCGCCTTCTTCACCAATACAGGTTCCAGCCGGGTCAAGTTTTAACCCTTTTTCCATCGCTACTTTGCCCCTTTCGACCATTACTTTACTTACTAGTCCTGGCAAACGCAAAATATCACGAATAGCAATGACTCCTTCCTTTATTTGAGGAATTTCTTGTGCTAGCAATTTGCGAATAAATAAATCATCTGCTCGAGTTAAAATGATTTGTGGAATGTCCTCAACCGACTTTTCTCTTACTTCCTTGATTAGGAGATAGAGACGTTGCCCTAGTCGTGGTTCTTCGCGCAGGGTTCATTCGGATTTGTCTCAATAACCGATTCCTCTACCTAAGTCAACTGAGTAATATTTTTTTCCTTGAGTGCTTTTGATACTGCCTTTGATTATTTCACCCTCTTGTGTTTTGTATAGTTTGTATTGTCTTTCTCAACTGATTTCTTCGACATCTTTTCGTAAGCGATTTTTAATCTCTTGATTGAGGGAAATAGATAAGTTTTTAATATCGAGAGGTAGGAAAAAAATATCGCCTTTTATTTGCCCCTCTTTTAGCAATTTATTATTTTTGGTTATTTCTTTTTCGGGTTCATTAATGGTTTCAACTATTTTATAGCGACGATAAACGGATAATCCAGAATCAAATTCAAAATGTAATTCCGCTCCCGAATTTTCTCCTCGGCAATAGGATTGACGAAAGGAGTCAATAATTATTTCCTTAATTTTTTCTTCCGAGACACCTTCCCGCTCGGCTAATTGTTTGATAAATTGTTGCGTATTATTATTTTCAGTCAAAATCTTAAAATGTATTAATATATTATATAGATAATTTTATAGAGAAATGGAAAGTGTCGGCTATTACCTTAACATGATAAAAGAATGAGTTAAGGAGGGGTGAAAATTTTTGTTTGAGGATACTGCAAAAATTGAAGCCCACCACTTAGTTGCCTTTTTGTTAACTATTGCCATAATCTATCTTCTTTCTTATATTGTAGCCAAAATTTTCAAAACTTTGGTGAAATTAATTATATTGGTAGCGTTAATTTGATTATTGTGAATGTTTTTATTTGACAGAAGTAAATATAATGAATTGTTTAGTAGTGAAAAAGGGACAAGTAAAAATGGCAGTAGTGATAATTAGAGAATGAAATAACAATTTTTTTTAAAACTTTTCTACTTGTAGTTAATATTATTTCTTTATTAAAGGTTGAAAATGCCCCCCGCTGTTATAAATAATAAACGGACGGTCTTTATATTTCAAATTATTGTATCTTGCTATTTCATCAGCGGTGTCATTAGAAGGATATTTAGTTACTCCTATGCCATTGTTATCTTTTAAACCAGGATAATTTTTTTCTCAACCAGGAGTTGCGGAAAGTAAAATAATTTGTCTTTCTAATATTTCTTGCATAAAAGTAATATCGTGATTTTCTAGCCACGCACCATTTATAGAAAACTTGCCTCCTCCAACTAATTTTTCTTTTATTTGGCTTGGTTCAGGGTCGCTATCCCACAGTATATTATTATGATTAGTCATAATTTTTAAACATACCTTAACCCTTAATGGTAAGGCTAAACTCGCATCTCCATTTTTTCCAGTTAAGAATACTGAAAAAGAGTTTAAAAAGCAGTTTCCATCTCCGGCCGCATTTAACTTAACATAATCTTTATATTTATAGGCAGTTCCAGCCGGAGTGGCATTTTTCAGATCCGATATTGGACCATTATCAGGCAATGATTTTAATTTGTCTTCGCTTACCCCTTTTAAATCCACTCCTGCCAAGGGGTCAGGATAATTTTGGTTACTAACTCAATTTTTTATTTCTTGAAAATTGGCAGGATTAGTATTTATAAAATTACTGATTTCCCATAAAATCTTTTCTCATTTGTTGGTGGGAGGAGTTTCTGGGGCTGGTCCTGGTTGAGGAGATGGAGATGGAGATGGAGATGGAGATGGAGATGGAGATGGAGATGGAGATGGAGATGGAGATGGAGATGGAGA